TGGATCAAATACAATATTAGATTGCACGCCATTAGCTACTCCAAAGAAAAAGCCAAACTTAAACATGAGAAAGAGCAGCGGATTCAACAAGAACTTAAGGATGCTAACAGGCTGTTTGAAAATGACCCTAGTGCCTCAAATAGATTGCGATTAGATGAAATCAAAGAAAAATTAGAACTTCTATGTGAGAAAAAAGTAAAAGGAATCATCATACGGGCAAGAGCACGTTGGCATGAGTATGGTGAAAGGAGCACTAAATACTTTTTAAATCTAGAAAAGAGAAACCATGTCAAAAAACACATCCGAAAATTGTTAATAAGTGGTTCAATAACTACAGACCCGTATCGGATACTCGCCGAACAAAAACGATTTTATCAAAACCTATACAAAACTAAGGACCCTGTAGAGGATACGGATTCCATAGAGGCATTTCTAAATAGTTTACTAAATATTCCTAAACTATCGGAAGAACAAAGGCAATCGCCAACCTAAGATCGTTTACACCTCCTCTTTGTTACCTACTCCGGAACACATTGTCAAGAATTTAAATCATATATTATATAAGTTTTTATGGAAAGGTAAAGATAAAGTAACAAGAGCGTCAACAATAAATAATTATGAAGAAGGAGGCATCAAAATGGTGGATATTGAAAGTTTGATAAAATCTCTCCGTCTTTCCTGGCTTAAACGAATATTTAGTGACAACTCAGGCGCGTGGAAAAACTACCTTGAATACATCTTCAAAGATTCTGGAGGTCTAATGCTTTTTAAATGCAATTATAATGTTAAGGATCTTCAAATTACCTCTACCTTTTATTTAGAACTACTTAAATGGTGGTCGGAATTCCGAGAAGATAATGCTCTTAATAACGATTGGCATTATGTAATTTGGAATAATCGACACTTTAGAATAAACGACAAGCCCTTTTTCTACAAGAAATATTACGACATTGGTATCTGGGAAATAGGAGACCTACATTTTGATCTCAGCAATACGGAATCCTACGAACAGATTGCAAAAAATGTTAAAAAGACAAACTTCCTTGAATGGACTAGTATGAGACATTCAATACCAACCAACTTAAGAGTTCTTAATCGCTCGGATTCGAGTACCTTTAATGCAATACCTTCCTTTAAAATCAATGGCAGCGTTTCCGACATAGCAAAAAAGAAATCAAAAGATTATTATCCTTTTTTGATGAAAAAGAACGCTTGTCTCCCAAATTATGCACAAAAACTGAAGTTGGATTTTCATCTATCTAATGACGATCTCAGAAAGGCATTTCTCTTGCCCCATTCTATCGCGTTTGAACCTTATGTCAAAGCCTTTCAATTTAAAATACTTAATTCTATACTTTTTTCCAACTCAAAGTTGTTCAAGATTGGCTACAGGACAGACAACTTGTGCTCTTTTTGCAAAAGGGAATCAGAAACTATTAGACATTTCTTTTGGGACTGCCCTTATTCAAATTCATTCTGGAAATGTATTGAATCATATTATTTTGGGTTGCGAAAACAACTAGTTCACCTAACATTAAAGGAAATTTGGATCGGCTTTTTATGTTCTGAATACCCCTTGCTTAATTATCTTATACTTATAGGGAAAATATATTTATGGAGTTGCAGAAGGAATGAACTACTCCCAACCATAAACAGTTTTATAGCAAAGCTCTGGCGCGCGAAGCGCGCTTGCGGAGCACCATGGGTAAGTAAATCTATCCATCCCAGAAAATTTGAAACTTGTTTACTTTGACAGCTGAAGCTGACAGAGTTTTGTGTCAACTTGTGATGTTTTTAACTGTCTTTTTCCACTGAACATTGTACAAAATGAAATTCATTCATCTTCGTGAATGAAAATTGTTGTCTCTGTATATGTTTCACCGACTTATTTTCCTTTTATTGATTGTTAGTAGTCTCTTTTGCAATTTTCATCGCTGTTGTGCCGTTTGTTTTCAGTCGCTCATGAACACAGCTTGCAGGAGTAGTCAAAATGCCGCGCGTATCAAACGCTTTTAAAGATTAAATATCGTTATAAAGCCATTATGTTGAAGCGTATAACTGTGTTAATCTTGATTTAAATAAGGCTATCAAGTCGACGTAAGATTAATTTCACTCTTAGCTTGGACTGTTTGCAAATTATTTTTCTCTAAAATTACTTAGCCTTTCCGTCAAAAGTCACATGAATGTGTTCTAAAGTTAACTGATTTGTGGATATACAAGTTTACAATTGTTTGATTTAAATTATAAATTCGAGTTAGTAGGAGCTTCGCTTTTAGCCCTGGCTAAATCTATATATTAGTTAGAATAAACGGTAAATATGAAATAGAAAAATATATTTTCACTAAGAATAAGAATTTACAAAAATTAATGGACAAATGGACTTTGTAATCTAGATAGTTTTTCCTCTTTTGAAAAAATGATTAGTTTTTCTTCTTTTTTCAATAGCACTTGTAAAATAACAGTAGGCATTACCTTGTGTGGTAATTGTGGAATTGCACGTGTGCTTAGGTGTGTAGTAAGTTTGTGCACGTATGCTTTGTGATAATAATTGTAATTGTTGTAATTGTTGTACTTTGGAATAGGAAATGAAATAAAATAAAAAATAATAATAATAAAAAAGAATTTCAGTCTGGTACAAAATCTCACGGCAGTGTCATGTAAACGCGAAACGACCACCCGTTTCGGCGTGAAATCGGTCCGCCGGTAGACTGGAATGGGTAGCGCATGCGTAATGTTTGCGATTTTGAATCACACTTGTATTTTATCAACATGAAGTGTACCTTCAAATAACAAGATATGAAATGACTCAGTCATAATGTAAACCCGATACAAAATCAAAAAGTCATTCCGGTATGAGACTTGCGCTGGTGCGAGTTTTCTCATGTAAACACCCCCTTACGGTACATGTACTTGTGCCTTTAGTGCCCGAGTAAGTGTATTATCACTAGCCTACAAGTAATCTGTGTAGTTTACTCAAATAATACTTGCATTGCTTTCTATTTATTCAGCAGATCAGCCTGGTATGGGACGTTGGTGACTGAAAGTCCTCTCAAAGCAAACAGGATTAATACATGTTAATTACATGCCTTAGTCTTGTAAAGTGGTTCTAGGGCTGTCACTAAGGGCCATAAACCAGACTTTAAATTGGCTACTTTGAGCCCAATACTTGGCTATTTTGAGAGGAAACGAAACTTTCCACATTTTCAGTGTCCCGCTCACTAATTTCAATTACCCTGCAACTTGCAATCTTAGCGACAGCCTTGTGCATCTAACTTTTTCATCATCAGTTTATGAAAATGATTTGTTATTTGGATTTTGTTGTTAAATTTGACTGTAAACACTTCTGGGAGTGAAAGGGCTAAATCAAGAAACCATCAATGTTATACATGTTTTAGGCTTTCAGTCTTCTTATTGCTTATCTAAAATTGTTTAAGCTTTAATTTTAATTTGAATTATGCTAAATTATACTAAATATTTTAATTTTGGAAGAGACCATTTTGACCCACCTTTACATTAATTTGTGTGTTAGAGTTGCTGTTTTTTATCAAAATTTAACTTCATCAGTTTTCTTGTACACCCTGTACCTTACATGCAAATACTAATAATTATTTTAAACTATAAATCATCTTAATTTGGTATAATACTAAGTTAAGATGATTTTTTTTGGATATTTTGAGAAGACTGTTTTGAACCATTTGAAAAGTTTATGTACACTGTATCTTCTTATTTAAACCTTAGGTGTTGGAAAAATTTTCGTTTTTTTTAATTTTTAATGTAATGACAAAGATGCTAACACAGAAATAAATCATGTTATATTTAGAAAATTCAGTTTTAGAGTATCAGTGTGTTTTGTTTTTTTAAAACCTTGTAAGATTACTCTTTACGGGACTAAACTTAAAGAATGCGATTCGTATTTGCAGCTTTTGCAGTTACAACAATGTAGCATACCTGGCGATTTTCATGGGATTTGAAATATAAAAATAAAGATAGGCAATTTGAAAATTGGTCATGGTGATGCAAAATTGGAAACGGAAAGGGGCCCTATTTTTTAAACTAGTACTCCTTTGCGTGTCCGTTTAAGGCGTAAAAGGATTGTCTAAATAAGATCTTTACACCAACTTTACGCTTTGATTACGCTGGTTTAAGTCTCTACTTTAAAGCGCATTTACACTAACCTTGCGTAAAGGTAAAGTAAAGTTCGACTTTACGTTGCGTAAATGGGTCGTAAAGTTACGTAAATGAGAACTTTACGCCAGCTTTACGCCACCATTACGCTCACTTAAATGTCTTTTTTCGTGCTGTGTATTTTCCTCGATCGTCAACATGGTCATCGTCACAATCATCATCATCAGCACCAGCGCCAGCAGACCATTCACTGCCTACTTAAAAGAAAACTTAAGCCTGGTTCAGCCTCCTTACTTTTCATGTGCCGAACCTAATCTAGAGCGACACTGGTGCGACATCTGATTCAGACGGCGCACCGTGTGTCGAGCCTAAGTTAAGTTAGACAAAAGTTCGACAGACTTTGTCAAACTTAACGCTTTTGCCAGCTAAAATTAAACTGCGTACCAAATTGATTCAGACGCCGCTCTTTTGCCTCACCTAATTCATTAGTTAGGTTCCGCACATGGGTGGAGTGGCGTCTGAAACGGGCCTAATTTTTGGCCAAAGGGGAAAAACATAGAATACATACGCTGTTTAGTTTTGAGCGAACATTATAAAATTATGTTCACCATATTTCTTGTTTTATATATTCTGGACGTGCATGAGTAGGAAATGAACGCGGCATACATTCGGCTGTCGCTGGTTAGCTACGTATGTTTAAAATCTATTCGCCATTGGCCGTACCTCTGACAAGCCCCTGTAGCTCCCACCTTGTCTTGGTTTAAGATCTTGCGGGTACTGTAGGTGATCTGAATCACTAAGCGCACACACAACTTTGTCGTTCACAGCTGGACCGATGTTGACTGACACGCATCTACTCTCCATAATACATTTGT